GACAGTGGCTCCAGGAATTGAGCTGGGATCAGTCGTTCCCTTTACAACAATGCAAGGTGCCGTGAGTAGGATTATGGTTGAGAGCTTGACTGTGCCTGCTTTTAGAGTTGGATACACAATTGTCACGGATGCTCTAGATGCTTTGTACAAGAAGGTAAGAATAGCCTTAAATGAGAAGTGGTTGCTGGACAGTAGCTTTTGCGTGATGATTGTTGATGCTTTATTTCTAAATGGTATTGATTGAGTACTGAGGAAAGTGATTTTTTTGGTGGGATAATAGTGAGTTCTTAGTAATTTCATATTAGGAGGTTTGGAATGGTGTTTGTTGTCTTCCTATCAATGTGCTTAATGATAAATACTATGATGAAAGGGGAAATTTAAGTCCATTTTGGGATCATATGGTTGCTTATTTGTGTCTAGGATCATATGGTATCTTTGGCTTGATGAGCCAGTCAAGAATAATGTCTTATGCCAAGAATCTCCTTACAATAGCTGAATCCTTTTGATATTTTATGATCTTTTAGGATGGAATAATTAGTACTCTACAATGATTGATTAGAGGAGGATGATGGTAACTGGTATTTATTGTTTCATGATTTGTGGTTGATGTAAACTGTACCTGTTTTTCTTCAGATCAAGTCCAAGGGAGTAACAATGACAGCACTACTTGCCAAGGCAACAGCTCTTGCATTGGTTAAACATCCTGTAGGCGATTCTAGTTGCAGGGATGGGAAGAGCTTTACATATAATAGTAGCATCAATATTGCAGTTTCTGTAGCTATTGCTGGTGGTTTGATTATGCCTGTGCTCCAGGATGCAGACAAGGTTCTTGTTATTCTACTTCTTTCTTCTCTGTGTTTCTCCTGGGTATTGGTTGTGCCAATTTTGTTTGTCCAAGTGCATATTTTAGGTTGACATTTATTCATTGTCAAGAAAATGGAAAGGGTTGGTTGATAAGGCCTGGGCTAAGCAATTGCAGCCTCATGCATATAATACTGGTATGCTAGTCCACATGATTTTTCTTCCTGGAAAGCTGGGTGACATCGCATTCTGTAAATCATGTTCTCTTGCTTAAGCTTATTTCAGCATCATAGCATTTATTTATTTTATGAGATGGGAGATGGGATGTTGATTGGAGATTTTATTTGCTAGTAGCTGTATTTGAAATTATTTTGGGTAACAGTAACTGAAGTATATTCTTCCATTTTTCCAATCTCACTGTTTATATTTTCTCGAGTCGTTGTTCAAAAAAAAAAAAAAAACCAACTCTAAAGTCATCATCATCTTTTGTTTCTAATCAGAAGTCCAATAAGATTGATGAAGCCTTTTCTTGATTTGATGTCACTTTCATATCTGCTTGTTAAGGTTGTTTCCTTCTGTCACAGGTACCTTTACTCTTTCTGACCTTGGGATGTTTGGTGCGGACCGATTTGATGCCATTCTGCCACCTGGAACGGTAAGTGTGTGACTCAATATGAATAAGTTTCCAGTAAACCATTCTCTCTGAGAAGCAAGTTAATTCTGAAGGTCTTACTATACATGCAGGGAGCAATCATGGCAATTGGAGCTTCTTATCCAACTGTTGTGGCTACCAAGGATTGTCGAATTGGCATGAAGAAGCAGATGCAGGTAACTTAGATATTTGGCCATGATAAAGCTGTTCTAAACTTAAGGAAAAATGAAACAGCTTTTGCCGTGATCTTTTCTAGAGGAAGAGGATATTTCTAGACATACAGCATTGTTCTATAACCTTGAAACTTGCAATTTTTCAGGTAAATGTTACAGCAGATCACCATGTCATCTACAGAGCTGATCTTGCTTCATTCTTGCAAACGCTGTCAAAGATCATTGAGGACCCTAAAGATCTTACCCTGTAGTCAAATGTCCCTCACCAACATGGTCTTCCCTGCCCTCTCATCACCGGGTATGGTTGTAGCATGCTCTCAGTCTCATGTTTCTCCCACATCAATTTTCAAGACATCATTCCATTTTTGTCTGCAAATATATGAGCTGATCATTCAATCAAAAACCTCCAAGGAACAAGAACAAAATTTTCATTTAGATTCTATTTTTGTTCAGTTTAGTCTTCAATTTCCTCAATCAAGAAATGTTAAATCTTAAGCTGTCAATTAAATTCTAGAGGATGGTAGCGGTGTTCTTTTTGCGTCAAGTTTCACCTTCATTAACCATATGCAGAATGAATCTGATCCAACTATTTTCACCAAGTTAATGAATCATTTTCATGAATGTTGTTTGTCAGAGACAGCAAACTAAGATTGTGTCAAAAAGAGAATTAGACAGGAGCTCGAGATCTTGATAGTGAATTTCATAGAGCCAAAACGATCAAGTACAGCACCCAAAATTTGTATATGATGCTTGATTGTGAATTATATGATGGATTTTTTTTTTCTTTGATGAACTATATTATGGATATAAGCATTCAGAAGAGTATTACCAATATTTACATCAGGAGCTAGGAGGCCTACAAGGCTTCCACAACTCGTATACAAATACAACATAGATATTTTCCTCTACCATTCATCATATATAATAGCACAAATCAAAGCAAACTCAGTATATAACCCTATGCAAAGAAAAACTACTTCTGAAGTTCAATAGTGTTGCAATAGAAGGATTTATCTTGCATTTAGGAGCATCCTCAACACGCTCTTCATCTTTGGCCTTGCCTCTGGTGAAGCACTTACACAAGCAACTGCAACCTTCAAGACCGCAAGCATCTGGTTTCTTGCAGCAAGTGATGTTTTACTGATATTAAAATCGAGGATGCGATCCAAATTATTTTGCTGCATTGAGTTCCTCAACACCCACTTGGCTAATTCAGTTCCCTCACTAACTGCAGGCTTTCCAGTCAGCAATTCCAGCAATATAACTCCAAAGCTGTACACGTTCCCAGCCATTGTTACCCTCATTGTGTAAGCATACTCTGCAAGCCAACAAGCAAAGCTTAAAAGTTTTAAACAAAAATCAAGAATGTACACAATGTCAAACAGAATAGGGAGAGATGTGGTCAATATAAAAAAAAAAAAACCATAAGGTTAGCTTTAGAAATTAAGAAATTTCTCCTTGTAAAATGATGTCAGAATTCTTTACCTGGAGGAATATACCCAACAGAACCAGCAACTGTAGAAAGGCTCCCAGTGCTTTTGGAAGGATCAATCACCTTGTAGAGCTCAATGTCTGCAACTTGAGGCTCCTTCAAAGACCTAAGCATGATATTTTTGCTTGAAAGATCTAGGAGGAGAATTGGACTAGAGGTGCATCCATGGAGAAAAGCAAGACCTTGAGCTACTCCAACTGCTATACTGTAACGACTTGCCCAGTCCAAAGCGTCTTTTGCGCTGCCATGAAGGATGTCATAAAGGGTACCCTTTGCAGCATACTCATAGAACAGATAAGCACTATCTACTGTCAATACATAGGCCAAAGGGATCATGACATTTGAATTACTTAGCCTCCCCAAGACCTGTAGCTCTTGCTCGAATTTATCATGGCTGCCCAGTTGAAATAATTTGTCACTCCAGCTCAGCTTCTTGACGAAATAGCTTGTTCCTGACGGCATGATTGCCTTGTAATAGGTGGAAAACCTTGTTTTTAGCACAATGTTTTCTGTGCTGGCAACTGCTTCCATGGCTTTGTTGAAGTCTATATTTGATCTATGGATTCCATTTGCAGTCAACAGATTACCTTGAATGACCTGAGGAGGAGGAATAACTTCC